CGTCTACCAAGTTTTCAACCTTCAAAAAGGACACTGGCCGAAAACCAAGAAATCCATTATTTGATATCAACAAGCAAGGCTCCGTCGCATCGAGATCGGAGTTTGTGAACCAAATGCTTTCGAGACGCGAACAAGTAATCAAGCAAGCTCAAGAGAATTTGAAGAAAGCTCAGGAAAGACAAAAGACATACTACGACAGGAAAAGAGCAGACAAAGAGGTCAAATAAGTCGATCTCGTTCTCTTGTCCACCGAAGCCTTGAACGTCAAGCATCAGACATTGGAACGCACAACTGTCTCCAGCAAGAAGGTCATTCCTAAATGGATTGGACCATACAAGATTTTGAAGAAGCTGAGCGACAACGTGATGAAGCTGAAGTTGCCGCCAAACATTAAGATGCGTCCAACCTTCAACGTTGGACAAACTCAAGCCGTACTTTGGAAATCCAGATCGATTGGAAAATTTCAAATTCCCAAGTCAAGGCCAATTATCTTCAACGACGAAGGCGAACAGATGTTCATCATTAAACTTTACTGAAGAAACGACTCAGCAGACGACGAGTCGAATACCTCGTCAAGTGGCATAGGTATCCTGATGAAGAGAGCACATGAGAGCCAGAACAAAATATCAAGAACGTCTCGCATTGGAAACAACTGGTGGAAGACTTCAGCGCGAAAAGACAGTCATAAGTGTGACTTTAAAGGCAATTAAGATTCAGAAAATTATACATGCAGGATCGAAAAATGAAAATGAAAAAAAAGAACCAGTCAAAGACAACGCGTCAAGGAAACCCAAGATCAAGAACAAGGAAAGATAAAGTCTGGGGGAATGTAACATATGTACTATGTCATGTTCTATGTAATGTACGCAACATGTTATGTTCGATGTTACCGATTACAATGGTACATTGAAGTACCATTGTACAGGGCCGCACCCATCGTGTCCACAGACGTTCACCCATCTTGTGGATCGCACATGGGTACCGCGTTGATCGTAAGCACATGTTGCTGAGTATCACCCAAATGCAGCCAATCACAATTCAATCACCCATTACGTCAGAGGCCTATCCAATGAAAAGCATCAAACCAAAAACACGATCAAGCAATCCAACGATGACGACTACATATTTCATGTCCATTCATTTCAGTTAACCAAAACAA